TATATAGGCCTTGTGTACAATATGTAATTACAAAACTACTCATGTACCGTACCGTTGCCCCCCGCACCCCCAACGACATAACGTAACTCCCCCGATTGGACAAATGTTTCGGCTCCGCTCCAGCGTCTGTCCCATATATGGTATATGAGCCATACCTAACATGGGTTAAACATCCCAACTTGGGCTAAATGAATCAATTGAAATATCTGAAAGCCATTTGGTAACATCTCATCTATGGTTAACCAAATTAAGCATGCCTTGTACAATTTCAGCAAATATTTAAACCAAATCATGATGCTTGAAGATCTCCAAATCCTTAAACCCAAATTACGACTTAATCTAAAAAAGCAGTCCATATTAGTTACAAAGGGCCGCAATCTACTCCCTGAAAGCTGCCTCCGCAATCCCTCTATCCCTTTTAACGCTTGCCATTGTTTAGCATGATGTCAGCGTCATATCCTGCAGTCTAAATCAAGATTATGACTTTTTTAGTCAGTTATTTATTCCCATCTAATCTGCTATTTATATGCCTGTTGTGATACCTCTCCCTGCCTGAAAAGAGAGAAGTATTGAGGGATGAAGATTATGAGAGCTCTCTTCCTCCTCCATGCTTCCCTTCTCGTGCATGTCATGGCAAGCAAGAAGGTATGTTTTATACGACATGAAGTTATGTTTCCTATGCTTTGATTTTATTGAAATTTCTGAGATGTATTTTGCATGATGATGATTTTTTTTTTCTTTTTATTAGAATTAAAATAGGCTAAGTTCTAGTTTATTGTATTTTCTTTTCCTTTTTTTTTGGTTGCATCTTCGCTATGACATGGCTTGGAGTTTTTTATTGCATGTTTAGCCGGCGGTGGGTGATGATTCGAGGCGCAATTTGTTAAGTATTTTTTTAAGCCCATAGGTTGCATGATCATTTGTCATTTAAATATTGATGGTAAGGTGATTATATGATTAGGAAAATGTGATATTAGACAATTTGGTTTGATTTTTTTTGGGAGGAGTTGATTGTAGATTTAGCGAGTTGTTTTGCATGGTTATAAAAGTAAAATTGAATCAGTAGATCCAATCAAGCGAGCGACAAGCCAATCCCTCGGCTGATTGTCTTTTTCAAAAACTTTTTGGGCACAACATCAGCTAGAATTTGTAATTAATAGAACCATTGAATTGACCCATTTTTCTATGAATTAGCATAGTTCTAATACTAATCAATTTTTTTTCCTTTTAAGATGGCTAAAAAGTATTTAAATTCGAAATAAAAAAATAATTAAAATAGTATATCCCAAAAGCTTTTATTTAAAATGATTTTCAAAATATTCAACTATGAAATATTATAAATTAAATAGGACAAATTATAATTATTGCATCATTATTATACCATTTAAATTATATTGAGATAATTTTAATATTTATTGCATCATTTAATTCAAACACCATATTCAACCCCAATTGAATAATCAAATTTTAAATTTCTCCTTCTAATTCAATGTACAGTTTGATTTTAAGAACATTGATTGTTTTTCTTCTAAAAATAGTATTCTTTTACAAAAAATTATCATATGCTAGAAAATTCATGATAATATAATGAATATTTTTTTTTATTTTAGCATTGCACAAATATATATATATATATATATATATATATA